CAGTCATGCATGCAATGTCATGGTTTAATTGAGTTTAGCTCCATTTCAACTTATTTCTCTTTGACCATGCGTCACATGTCGGGATAGGAGGTGGTTGAACATATGCAATTCACAATCTAGTTATTACAGTTAGGGATGATTCAGAAACTTCATTATTCAATTTATCATCTTCTCCTAAAAAATCTACGTTTATCCTCAGTAATGCTCACCTAGTTATTCTAGGATACACAAGGATTTCATCAAAAATACTGATGATCAAACAACAGTATCCTACATATGTACTTTTACAGGCTATTTCAATATCATAGATTAATACAAAGCAAACTGATACCAATTACACCCTATTTTAGTTGACAAAGGAAAATATTGCCTTCATTAAAAAGTGCAAAATTCAATTAATTTTTCTGAGACTTCATCAGCAATCACTTCATGAGAGGAAATGTAGTACATTCAAATAAAAACCGGCAGAAGCCTTAGAGAGACTCCAAGCGGAGTGGATAGGTCACACATTGAGGAAAGCACTGAAATGCATGACAAGTGAAGCCCTCACATGGAATCTGCAAGGACAAACGAGAAGAGAAAGATCAAAGAACACATTACACCGAGAAACGGAGACAGACATGAGAAGAATGAACAACAATTAGATAGAACTAGAAAGGAAGGCGGAGGACATAGTGTGTTGGAGAATGCTGTTCGGCGGCCTATGCTCCATTGAAGGTAACAGGCATAAGTAAGTAGGTAAGATGTTAACTGGAAAATTATATAATCATCTCATATACTCAAATCTTCAGTCAAAACAACAGAAAGTCAGATAAATATTCACAAATATTACTTAGTATAGTTAACTACTTAATAAGTAGTGTGATGTGTGCTACTGATGTCGACAGATATAACTAGTAGGTATCATCAATCAAAAGTCAAATGTTTGGTGGCAGAAAGTTGAGAAGATTGAAGAAAATAGAACGAGAACAATGAATGATTGCTGTGAAAATGAAGGAATACTGAAGTCTGACACGATTGATTGACATTTTACAAACGAAGTATTTGCTGTAGGATTCTTAGATTTTACTAAGAGATTCTGACCCAACATAAAAAGTTACATCTGTTTTATATTCCACATTATCTATACCTATTCCTAAAAATGGATACAGAATTCTTCTGGATCATCGGATAGTAAGAAACAATGGGAGATAATCTCAGTTCATGTCAAAGAATTCAAGATTATCTAAAGACATAAATTAAAGTATAGAGTCTTGAAAAAGTAGCCATTGTTACTACACCTAATAAATACATGAATTGAAGTCACAGAAGCTGTACTTTAATCTTATCTTACTCGAAATACTCATCATTTTTATCTTTGTTATAACTTGTAATCTTGTACCCTATTCATATATCAAGTAATGATATCTCCAATTAAAGAACGGTGGTTTGTCGACCGGACTAATGACACATAAAATCCGCACAGGAAATCTAGTGTTCTTATCGGTCTTACTTTCGGCTTAGCTCTGCCTGCCTGTTGAGTCCAGAATACCAATCTTAGCCTCTGATAAATGAATCATGTATTTCAAACATACTCAGTTTATATACAAACCAAATAGACCACATCGTACCATAAAATAGGTAACAACATTTGTACAAGATTTAGCCAAAGATGGTTGTAAATGTGGGAGATAAACTGGGTATAATTCAAGAATGGTGAATTGTATAATAATAGTTCATAGGTCAAAATAAAACTTACAATAAGCGGAACATGAATATGAATAGTTTAGTTAATTAGTAACTATAAAACAAATATATATGTATAGTATTAGTCGTCTAGGAATGAATCCCAACAGTTACTATTCATAATTGTCATCTGGATATAACAATCTCTATTACTCAAATTATCTTGGAAATCCCCAGAGATTAAAATGATTTCAATGGTTATACATGTCCTTCTTGATTACAAATGTATTTTTTTATAGAATCATATTTACAAACAGTTCATCATCTATCATGTAAACAGAAGAATATTCAATGGAGAAACATACAAAATCACAAACTATAAACATTATTATCAATATAATATGTTGATGGTTTTTGTTATGAGTGTCCTAGGAGATAATAATGGATCTGATGTGAAGGCACGGATCGGCAAACTAAGAGCAGCATATTTACAACTGAAGAACATCTGCAAATCAGAACAATTGGCAACTAACACCAAGGTCAAGAATTTCAATACAAATGTCAAGACAGTTCTACTGTATGGGGCGGAAACCTGGAGAACTACAAAAGCCATCATCCAGAAGATACAGGTGTTTATTAGCAGTTGTCCACGCAAAATACTTCGGATCCGTTGACCGGAAACTATCAACAACAACCTACTATTGGAGAGAACAAACCAGATTCAAGTGGAGGAAGAAATCAGGAAGAATCACTGGAAGTGGATAGGACACACATTGAGGAAAGCATTCAAGACAAGCCCTCACATGGAATCCTCAAGTTCGAGTGAGGAGAGGAAGACCAAAGAACACATTACGACGGGAAATGGAGATAGACATGAGAAAAATGAACGAGAAATGGATGGAACTAGAAAAGAAGGCCCAGGACAGAGTGGGTTGGAGAATTCTGGTTGGCGGCCTATGTTCCATTGAAGATTACAGGCGTAAGTAAGTAAGTAAGTTCTAGAGGGTATTGTAACTAATCAGAAAAGTGCATCTATAATCTCAGGAAAACTGGTACTAGCTTTAGGACTGAAAGCCGTTACACCCAGCTTCACAGCCTAAGACATTAACATTAAGCTATTTAAACAGTAACTTACTGTAGAACTGAGATAATCACAACGAATTAATTATTGAATAATGATTGATATTGTTTGTTTTTTTTTCAATACAAACATTAGCAATAATTCTAACACCTTGAAAAGTGATATCTTTCTACATGGAGAGTTCACCTAGGGAGGTTGGAAAATTCTTATTCCAGACCAATGATGCACATGGGCTTCAGTATCCTGAAGGGACAAATTGTGTATGAACCAATCGTTGGTCATGGGACTGCATCTTCTGACGTTGTTTCACTGCCCTGTAGATCAGACAATTAGGTCAAACGCTCGGGGAGTTGCTCCCTAAGAAAACCACCTGCTTCCTTTTGGGCACCCTGGCAGTATCACATCCCTCACAAAAAATGATTACTACTACTGGCCTCTCTGTTATTGTGCTACTTATGAGCAGGTGCTCTACTGGTGGAGGATAAAGTTTAAGATTGAATCAGCCTGTCATATGCAACGCAGAGACTGATACATATGCGCCACCTAAATTTGTCACATCTTACTAGCACAGTGAGGAAAACAATCAAGACAAATCCCAAGTAAATAGAAGTAGAAATTGTATCAGTAGTAGCAAACGAGATAGGGTCTAGTAAAAGAGCGAAAAAACTGCACAAGATCCATTCCAGCCTACTGTTTACTAGTCAACATCGTTCGCTGAGATAGCTGATGGTTGAGCACAAGAAATAAAGCCCCAACCATTCCTGTCAATGAAAATATACAGCCCTATCGATCGATTTATCATCTTTACCAAGTACCATATGGCTAACTTCGGCGTTCGTCACTCAAAGGACCCGAAATGCGACGCCGGGAGACATCTATGATTGTATACTAGTAAGTTACGAATATCCTCTATTTGCAACGGGCATGCTTGATACTCATCAAATAAAAAGGGGTGAACTGCTACCCAGTAAACTTGTCCGTTGTTTGATGGAAGTATAACTGGCTTACGCCACAAATGACCCAAGTTGGTAACGATCAACCGGGCTCAATCCACGCCAAGTCTAGTCAGACACCAGCTCATCAGGGCTGATAAGAATGGCGGGGTAAGTAAAATGATCGTAGCACTCAAACACTACTTTGTTATTAATTTAGGCGTTGATGCAGAGCAAATCTGAAGCAACATTTTATATGGAAAGGTACAAATGGATTGTTGTATTGTTACTTTAAACCGTCAGAAGATTGCACTTTTTTATAGTCTCCTCCAAACCGAACTATGTCATCTGTGTATTTTAAGACTAGTAGAGAATCTCCTGATAGGAGATCAGACAATGAGAGGATCATCTCTAAAAGAATGTTTATGATGAAGTTAAATAAAAATGGGGAATTTGTACAGTCTTGACGAACACAACCTGAGGTTCATAATTCTGATAAGAGATTACCATAAGCTTTGATTTAAATCTATGACTAACTTCAATTACATTGTATTTGTATTGCTGGTAGATGCAGACTACTTGATTAGGGGTCCACGCGACTATCGTAATTAATCGTTGGAGACTCTGGCTGACATAGTTCAGATTCGATCACACTCTCTGTGTTCCCTTAAAATTTCTTTCTACAAACTAATTCTTTCTTCCTGCACTATATCCTTTTATGTAATCTTTCTTTTATATATTACCATCACTGAATTAGTAATGGTTTGCATCTGCCCCGAGTATTTGTTAATTATCAGTCTATTACAGTTGAGCGGCCAAACCAAAACATGACATCAGTGCTTGAAGTCACTAACTTCTAGTCTGAACCATGTTGGTAGATGCAGACTACTTGGTTGGGGTCCGCGTGACTATCGTAACCAATGGTTGGAGACTTTTGGTGACATGGCTCAGAATCGATCACAATGGTGTAGGTGTATACACTCTTTGTCTTCCCTTAAACTATGAGATTAAAATCACTTCATATCTTTCTTCCTATGTACTAATTCTTTCTTGCTGTACTATGTCATTATATGTAATCTTTATCTATATACATCACTACTAATGAAATACCTACTTCTATGAATTCGATGTTCATCTTGCTGTGTTAATAAGGTATGGCAACTTAGACCGATGCACATATATGTGCCTCGTCCTACGTTGCAGCTGACTGACTAACTGACGGTTTTTAAAGTAATAATAGTATAAAACATCTAATAGATAGATACATAGATACAGATACAGTTACATAGATACAAATATAATGAATGAAATAATCAACTTACTATGAATCCTTTATACCATTTCTTAATTTGTCCTTCTGTAAAATGTGTTTTTGCTGAAAGTTTTTTTAATTCTGTTTTATTAATTTTTTTATTTGAATGAATACCACCCATTTGTTTATTTAGAAATATGATTTAATATAAAACAGAAATATTATTTTCCCAAAATAATCCCTCTCGTCTTTGTTTTGTTTTTCTTTTTGTTTTTGTTTTTGTTTTTTTTGTTTTTCTTTTTTGGTTTCTAATTTCTTGAAATCAATTTATAATTGTTTCTGTTGAGTAATTGTCTAATAATCCATTGAAATATTGATCATCCGATAATACACTTTGAATGTCATCACTACTATTACATAAACAACAACAATAACGACTACTACTAATACTACTACGACTTCTACTACTATCAGTACTACTGTTATCACAAATGTTACAAATAGTAAGTAGTATATTTAATTGTAATAATCAAATCAAAATGGTTTTCTCTTTTATGAATTTTACTTTTTTGTAAATACATTTGGATAGGTTAGAATACAAGGTTAATTGTGCACATATGTATATACATATGCAGTATTTATATGCGTTAGTGACTATTCTATATCCAATATGAATGAGACATAAGAGATTTATGTATCCTGATAGGTTGTTTCCTATTTTAGACGCCAGGTCAATTATATGATGTACAATATACATATGATTGAATTCAATATTTTCAAACCTACGCTATATATATATATATATATATATATATATATATATATATATATATATATATATATATATATATATATATATATATATATATATATATATATATATAAGTTGTACAACGAATCAATTTTATTACCTTACCGTAAATGTGTCAGTAGTGCCAATGTGTGGGTGGTCATCTTCACACGGGCATTCATGTAACCTTGAAGTGAATTCAAGGTTAAAATATCCCTTCTTGAATTATTAATCTTATTGTACCCACATATTTATTATGTTAATAGACAGAAGTTATTATTCATTCATACTTTATATTACAGTTCATTATATATACGTAAAGGAGGTTAAACTAAGTGGATAACTCAATGAACAGTATTGGGTTCGAGTCCTAGAGTGAAAATCAATTCTAAGATGTAGTTACATTCAATTGATGAGTTTCGATTGGGACGAAACGCGCGTCTTGAATTCCATTGCTAGCCACTATCCATCTTTACTTATAAGACTAAAAATATTTTCTAAGAAATTAAAATCTAGTTGGTAGAATAACAATTTATTAGTATAATTGAAGAGAGTTTTGTGGAGATCCATTAAAATTCATAAATCATTTTGTGATGAATGATTCCTCAACTAAAGAATAAGTTACCTGGTTATGTCACTTCTATGTGTATCTACAAATTCAGCTGCTTCTGTGGAAAAAGCTATATTGGAAGCACTACTAGACAACTGAACCAAAGAGTTAGTAGACATCTCCCTTCGTGGTTAGCAAAGGGTGCCGTCAAGACAATACTCAGCCCAGTTCTATCACACTGGGTCAATAACCGTCATGTAGTAGACAGAAATAAGTCGTTTGAAGTTATTTATCGTATTCCTACTAGTTTTCCTTATGGTGTTCGATCTCGTCACCTACACATAGCAGAAGCTATAGGAGTTCGAGCCAACAATTCAAGTCTTTGTGTTCATAAGAAATTTATAACACACTTATCTCTTCCTTGACCTTAATAAATGGTTTTATTTATTATTATTATTTCCTATACTCTTTCTTTGTTTATGTTTCTTCACCTCCTCCCACTCTTTTCTTTCCTCAAATATACGCTTCATGGTCCAGGTATCTGAACATTTCCCTCTTATTACGTAATCTTATAATGAATGTTATTACAGTGTCTATATTTTTCTAATCAGTAACCTATTTCCTATTATGTAATATTGATTCAAGCCTTTATTATTCGTATCACAACTAGTACACCTGTCATCACACTACTACCAGTTTGTACTTTACACTTATTTATGTAATCTATTCCATTGTTATCATCATTGACCCATAAACTGCCTTGATTTAGGTTAATTCATTTCGTATATCCATATATAAATACATTACTGCTAGTGTAGTGAACCGGACATGGACCCGGTCAATTGCATGTATTGTACAACAAATTACACAACTAGTTAGTAAAATTTAACAACCATATAGTCAATGCTTAATTTGCAAAATCTCCAATAATTGTCTTAAAATAACTCAGACTTCCTTTGTTCTTGCATTTTCATACAAAATCGATTCTGTCTTCATTCTTCACTGTTCGATCTTCTTGTCTCTCTGCTGTCAGACATTCTGTTCACGACTAACGTCATATACTACTTATGTCTACATATAAGTAGCACACATCACACTAGAATCTTTGTTCTTGCTCTTTTCATCATTACTGTATATTACAGTATAGCCTGATGAAGATCTAGTCGAAAAATAATATTGTTCGCTTATATTTATCTTGTTTTAAATTACAATATGGGAATTGTTCAGATGATGAATGAAATCTACAAATTAGCCAGTATGCCGATAGTTTTTTTTTCTAATGGAATTAACAATGTTTTGGTAAAACAAAAACACAGATGTTAAAAATAATTCTTTCTTGAAACATTGATTAGTTTACCATGTTTTCATCATTTTTCTCGATGAACAAATTAGCATTTGACATATGCTCAATAGTGACTGGCTTCATAAGGTATTTCCTAGAGTTCTAGTGGGAAGTAGTGACCAGTAGAGTTCAACTGGGTCTATTATTAGATAGTAATTCACTGAAGACAAGGGTGAATGTATCGCTCAATTTCCTGGGTTAGTTGAAGTTAGACATCAACACCGTTGGGTGCCAGCCAACTCAGTGGTCTAGAGGTTAAGCATTCGTGCTCGATACTGATAGGTCCTGGGTTCGAATCTCACGAGGCGGGACTTTGGAAGTGCACTGCTGAGGAATCCCATACTAGGACGAAACAGTCATCCAGTGCTTCCAGGTTTTCTATGATGGTCTACCTTCAATTGACTCATGACCTCAACTATTAAAAAAATGTTTTGTTTTATAGTAATCAGTGTTTTGGTTTAGCCCTTTGTGCCAGTGAAAATCATAAGTTAATCATTATTGAAAATGTTTAAACATTGGTTACCAACTATTAGCTAGTCAAACATAACGTACCTACTATCAAAATTTGAAGGTCATGAGTTCGATGCCAGTCAAATACGTAGATTAGCACTGCTAGAAAACAGTAGCACTGATCAGCTGTTTTGTCCTAATGTTAAACTCTTCAGTAGTATGCATCAACGATCCCACCAAGAACAGAACCTAGGACTTTCAGGTTTAACAGTTAACAACTGGATTGAAATTCAACATCCCATAACTATATTTTCAATCATTTTGTAATATGACACGATGTTTACCCAATACTATTGATGATAGTTGTTTTATTATCAAAGTGTATAAACTCAATCAATTACAAATTATCACTAGAATCCTAAGAACATCTTTACGTTAGTCACTAATGAGCTGAAAACCATGGTTTACTTGTAAAGCTTTTGCTGAAATTTCATCAAATTCTCATGAATATTAGATTCATTTACAAGTGAAAAGACTCATATTGTAAAGCCTTATCAAACAAATATTTACACCTCCGGTTGTTTTCATTCAGTTAGATATTTAAACATGATTGAATCATTTAACAACTGAATTTCCTATGTGATTGAATATTCTACAGTTAAATATACCGTAGAAGTTAAATGAAGAAATTCCATCATCATAGAATTACTCATAGACTAAAGAAAATGTAGATGACATCATAGTCATAGATAATAAACGTGAAGATATGAACCGTTTGTTAAAAGAACTCAATACAAGTCAAAACCATATTTCTGTTACATATGAAGAAGGTATGAATAACCAACTTCGTTTTCAAGACATACTGACTAGTAGGAGAGACGATGGTTCTCCATATAAAAAGCCGAAATGAACAGGACAGTATCTTAAATTCCGTAGTCATTATCCAATATATTACAAATATGGATTAATAAAAGGCTTATTCAGTAGGATATTCGTATTTGTACTAGTGATACCATGGAAGGAGACACGCAGCTCTTAACTGAAACAATAATAATTACTGATGTTTATGGATCATTGGAAAGGTAGCGATACGATGAGACCTATGACGTGTATGGCACCCGAGAAACAAGTCTACATCACCTTATCATTTAGAGGTGACTCAAACAAAGACCTAAATTAGCTATTATTATTACATTCTGTGCAGCCCAACTCGTCATTATCGAAAAGTGAATGTCTATGTGTCACCAAAAACCGGAACAGCTCATGTGTCATATCTCATTAGATTTATCAATTTACATGTATGTGTGAAAACACGTACATAGGGATGAGCAATCGTGAGCTACGAGCAAGGTTGGCTGAAAAACTATCCGAATAGCTACAATGACAGATGAATCCCAGTAGTCAAATAAGACCACATGAGAGATAAATATCGTCATCCATTACGAAATATTTGGTTGAGACTGGTTATACGGTTCTGATCAGGACAGAGTTGGATGGAAAATGCTGGTGAGTGGCCTATGCCCCCACGAGGGGTAACAAATGATGGTATGTAAGGTCCTAAGGTTGACATCAAGTCAGCCCTTTACACTGGTTTTCAATAGCTTATACTAAAGTTTATTGATGATTTTATAACTAAATGATAATTTGTCTTGAACGCGATTGTAGGAAGCTACGTACATACATAAAGTTCACCACTAGTCTATACAAGATACCTGCTAATTTGCTCAAAAGTGATTCAGATACATGGGTCATTCTTGTTGGTGAGATCAGTTTCATAATTGTCCTGTCAATTTTCTGACTTCCAGTTTAATCATCTCCCGTTTGCAGACGTGGCTATTGACTCTATGATATGTTTTACAACTGTGAGATTTTAACATCTTTGCAATTTGTTAGCACTAATTCAAATAAACGAGTGTGTAAATAATAGCATTTGTTTATTAGTAGCCTAGTCCAACAGGTGAGTTGGACGTTTGTGATTCCGAACAAACATTTAAAAGACAGCATAGAGAAGTTGGGTGATAGTTAGCTTGAAGGAAAGTTTGTAAGACGAAACTTGACGCATTTGTGAGATCGCTGGCGCGGTTTGGAACTCCACAGAGAACATCTGTTCCTCTCAGATTGTAGAAATGACTCGAGGACCAATACTAACTAGTACGAAACATGGGTTACCTTCCTACCAATTCCCCATAATGTCGAAGCATTGACACTAGTGAACATACTTCAACTAAGACGATGTAAGTCGATCGACATAAAAGATTACTCTTATTGAAACACATCAACATTGGTACAAGTGTGCACCAAATACATATACGCCACACTTCACCATTCTGTTTGTGTGAGAGCAGGAATACCGCTCGGTTGTTCAAACCGAAGTAGGCAGTGTTCTTAGGTGGTCACTCCCGAGCCTTTGTCCAACGGATCTAATCCAAAATGCAGTGGATCAACAGACTCGGTTGAAGCAGTGACCAGTGCAATAAATAATTGTCAGGTTTTTCGCAACATCGTTGATCGTGGCCTAAACATCATTCATATAATCTCAAAGATCTAAAGTGCTAACAGTACGGTGCTTAAGCAACCACGGTCAATGTTGTCAGGCTTGGACTAAATATCCGGGGCTCTACACCATCTAGAATTAGCTTC